AAATTGGCACTATATTTCACAAATCACATCTAATTTACAATGACATAGCAGTACAGTACTCTTAAAAGCCAAAACAATTTGACACACATTAGGATATGATCTTATAAGCAAAGCAGAACATACAGTATGTTTCAAAAATGCAAAAAAACAAATTACTTTTACATATAAAAGCATGCTCTTATTTGTGCAGAAATATAGTAGCAAATGCTAAACTTTTTGGACATTTTCAATGCCCATCATCAGACACTCTCAAAAATTAGTGCTCAAAAAACATCAGTGTTTGATAATAAAAAGGAGTTTTGTTGCTGAAAAATTAAGGTGTGTTGATTAGTTTTGAAGTAAAATCCAGTTTGAAACTCTCATTTTTCACATAAATTCACTTTTAATTAGCAATTATTATTAACATTATTTTGAGCAATAAATTTTTATAACATATTTTATCTCTAATAAAAATTTCTCTATTTATAACCTAAAAGCATATTATGGCTTCATTAAATAAAACTATTCAATAAATGAAATTAAGTTCTCTCTTATAACTGATATATCAGCTTTGCTCAATTATTAATCATTCTTTACATAGGGTGTGGCAAATTAACCTGAAGGTTTTTAAATTAAAATAACTTACAAGTTATGTAATTACACTAAATTAATTTAACATCATCCTGCACTTAACCTCAAAGCATTTAACACAAGATTCAAAAATAATCACTTTTTGAATACTGTGTCTGTAAGATAGCATATATTGTTGTCTATGTCTACACATTCTTACAACTGTTCCTTAAAACTTTGGATGATTTTCTGCAACATTTCAGGAAGAATTATTACCACAGTCCTTGAATTGTTTCCAGTGTCAGTCACTGCCCGATCCTGTTTAATCCACAGATGCTGGTATTCAATATCAAATTGCCACAACCCCAGTTCAAGAAAGTTGTGAAGCATTTTGATGCAGTGAGCTGAATTTACTGTCCCAGTCCTGCCTTCTTTGTTTTCAAAGAAATAAGGACCAATCATTCCAAAAGTACACCATGCCAAACAATAATCTCAGCACTGTAAAAGTTGTTCCTGTAACTCATAAGATTTCTCATAAAACAAAATGCATTTTTATTATTTTATACAAATTTCAATAGTTACTAAATTGCTGAGTTAAACAGCATGTGTGCTCAAATCACTCTCTCCACCCCTACAGTTTCAATCATGTATATCTTTAAAAACCATCAAGTTAATCAACCATCCTGTATATCAAAACACATCATACCATTAAATATTATTTAGTTTACTAAGGCATAAAATTATTGTAAAACATGTTCTTGCAAATTTTTTAAAAACTTTTATTTATTATATTTCAAACTGTTATTTCAATATTAATAATGTTATTAAAGAAACATTAATGTTAAGAATATTAAAAGCACAAAAGGAAGAGTCCTAAGAATAAGTGAAATACAAAATAATTACTTCAGAAAAAACTAAGAAAACATATCTTTAGAGATTATATAAATTACAGCCAAGCAGGCTTCCTAAATTATAGGAATGATAATTGAACATTTAAAAAGACAAAAGATTCTCTGATCTTTTGTCTTTTAACACACTAAGATCAGTATCAAAATGCAACTGAAAAGATAAGAAACATAGTTAAAGATATATAAAGGATTAAAGATTAGTAATATAACCGATATATCAACAAGTATATAAGATAAAACTTGAGAAAATATGTAGAAAAGATAGATATAGATCACAAAATTTAGTAATAAAAACATAGATGCAAAAGAAATAAACAAAGAAAAACTGAAAAGATAAAATTTGTTTTGAGATTGAAACAGGCCTAAAGAGATAATTTATAAAATCAAAATTAAAAAAGAACAGAATGTAAATTTTTGTGAAAATAATAATATTTGAAAAGATCAGTATATTAAGTCTAAATATTGCCATATTTAAAAAATAGATTAAAATTTAATTGTCTTCTTTTAAACAAATGAACATATAATGAACTCTTATCACTCAATTTGTAAAAATGTTTTTATACAGAAAGATGACAAACAATTCATATGAATTAAAATATTACATTCAAGTCCATTTAACAGAGCATCAGATAAGGGAACAGTTTGCTTAAAAGAGCACAGTTCCAAGTTTCCAATTTTCTCACCAAGTTTTACATATAGCATGATTTCTGTTAACAGATCACTGAATAGTAGAACAATCTGTTTAAATAAGCACCAAATCAGCAGCAATCCACATAAGAGAGTACTGTGCTAAGGAAGATTTATAAGGGTCAATCTTTAATTTTACAGTAAATTACCACATAAGGTACATAGTGACAGGACTCTCTATGGTATTTGTTGAGATTTGTTGAAATATGCCATATGACTAGAAGAAAATGCATGGAGGAAGATAAAATGGTTGAACAAGTTGAAGACAAAATAGAAAGTGTTCACAAATCAACAAAACATTTCTCATAAAGATGCTTTGTTTTATTTAGGCATGATGAAAACATAGAAGAAAATTTTATTGACTAATATGAGATTGAGATTGAGGAGATAACTGAATTTTAATATATCTGTGCGTGTTAAAAGTCATTTAGATCACCTAAGACATTATATGAGATTGAGGAGATAACTGAAAATAAAACTGAGTAATCAATCTGAAACAAAATTATGGAATTAAGTAAATTTGTTTAGGTTGTTTATTGCATCAATAGTTATAATAGTAATAAACCAAACAATCACCATAATAATTAATCTATTAGTACATTAATCGGGCTATTAGTGAAAAATAGCCTGATTAGGCTTAGTGATGTTTATATTGATTAGGCCTATGTATATATATATATAGTTATAATAGTACAAGTAGTTCACTTTTATAACTTATCATAAATCATTTTATTCAAACTATCATAATAAAATTTGATAAAAAAAAAAAAACTATTCTTTCAGTATTGTACTTATTGTATGTTTTTACTGTATGTCAAAATTTCGGAATACTCTCTAATAAGAACATTCAAAAATTTTGGATCAAGGGTGCATTCAGAGGAATTCATACTATATTTCTGGGAAGAAGTGAAAGTAATGTAACTGGCAAATATACTACATTTACTGAATATTTGATAAAACAATAAAACTGATGATGTAAAAATGATAATAAATAAGAAAGTAGAGTAAAATTATGTGATAATGAATTTTAATATATCTGTGCGTGTTAAAAGTCATTTAGATCACCTAAGACATGAAGGAGTGTAGAGAATCAAATACCATGAATAACTCTCTGGGTGATCTTGTTACTTTGGATAAGGGAACATGATGCAACAATGATCCCAAGGATACTCTTTTAAGTGGACTCAACCATATTTAGAATTATTTGACAATGAATAGCAAACATATTATCCATAAAAGATATATATATTTATTTATTATAAAAAGATTTCTAATACAGTACAGTATTAAATTATAAAATAACAATCTCTGTTAATGCAAATTTGAGTTGCCTTTAAGTTTAAAACAGATTAAATCAATGAAATTAAAAATAAATAAATATATTTATTTGTGTATACAGAGATAATCTTACATAAGTTTAACATTTCTGAAATGAAATAAGCTTGTAAAATGTTACTGTTTCATTTTCAAAATAATGCATAATAATAAATTGTAAATTACTTTAAAACTTATTAATTATAATTATAAATAAAAAAGTTTAAAATTAAAATTTAAAATCTATAGGAAAGTTCTTTGGTAAATTTCTCAGCCAAAGAACTTTCCTACAAGTATGAAAATTCTAAATATTCATTTTTCATATTACTAATATTTAAGATCATTGTTTCTTAAAAACTTGGAAATACTGATATTTAAGATTCTAACTATATATTAAGAAGCGTACTTAATACTAAATAGTAACAAATATAATACAGTATACTTATATTAACTATGTTTAATAAAATTAAGCATAATAGATGTAACAGTTTATTTTTCTTGAATTACTTTCATTTAATATATTAAAATAATAGTTATTTACTTTTGCTACATTTTGTTATTTATGTCATTGATCTTTAATAGTTTCAGCTAAAAATATTATATAAACTACCATCTTATAAATTCTTCTTAACATAATCTAAATATTACAGTAAACAGTATTCTATTGAAGGTAACCACTGATTTACTCTAATTTTAAATAATTTTTTAGATAAATCCATTATTATTATTTTTATTATTATTGTATCTGGATGCCCGTTCCATTAATTCATACAATATACAGGAAACACTCGAATAAATAATATAGAAGTGAAAGGAAAATATATTTTAATATATATATATATATATATATATATATATACAGATTTACATAATGCATATTTAATTAACAAACACAGTTGTTTCCATTTATTAGAATTTACCTTTTAATGCAACATACAAAAATCATTTTTACAAAATCATTTTTTTCTTTTAATATTTTGAGAATTATAAACAATAAAACATTATTCAATTAAAATATTCATGAATAAATAAGCATAAGAAGAAGAAAATAAAAATAGATTTTATTTAAAACAATATTCAGGAATAAATGTTTTTACATCTCCAAATTTCTAGTCTGGTTACTTGAAATTTGACTACTTATCCAAATAAAAAAAAAAGGCACATTGCTTAATCAAAAGGAATGAGACATATATAACTATTGGTATCATTTTTGAAACATGTCAAACTTTTCCTATATAAATCTATATTTAAATGTAATTGAAATATTTAAGTTTTACATCTGCTTGAAATTGACACAAAACTATTTTTAACAATGAAAAAGTTCAAGTGGAAGAATAAGGATGAGGAGGAATTCCTCCTTCCGTTCTATAAATGTTCATTTCCGCAAAAAGAAGGGGAAGTAGAAAAATTAACTTTATCATAAGTTTAATTAACACGCGCATAATTTACTAATTAAAGCATATCGATATGTTTGTACCGCGAATTTGAAACTATAAAATAAGTAATTGATAAGATTTTTAAACGGAAACAATAAAGTTTTACCTGGAAGGTTACATAAAACAAGGAAGATGACTAGGAATAAGTTGTAAGTTAACGACGTCTCCATGTTGCCGTCGGTCTCCAAGCCAACTCCCTCCTTCTTCGGGTTCGATCGTCTTCCGCACACCCACGCCCCTGCCGGATGCTTTTACTGACCTGGAATATGTCAATTAGAAGGGCCTTACATTGGCAACAGGCCCCACCAACTGCTTTAGGCCAACTCCAGCTGTCACTAGTTTGCAACTGAACCGAAAATCAGTACCTTATTAGGCGCTGTACTTTCACCGATCTATCATAAAGTTTGACACAAACAATTTAAAATTAATGTTTTTACAAAAATGGGGCGATTAATTTTCATTATCTGACTTAAAACTCGTTATATATATAGTTTAATAATAGTTAAAGTAGATAAGAGAGTTGATTTTGTAAAGTTTTATAACAGATGTTATCGCGTTAGTATGAATATAATTAAAAGTATGTCAATATGTCCTCGCTTACATAACTAGCGTACAGTAACGAAGGACGTTAACCAAAGAACAGATTGCCGAGAGTGAAAATCGTACAGATGGAATAGAAGTCAAAGGTCGGCAACTGCGACTCGGTTCATCAGCCGCCTTACACTGCTATCAGTTTATGTAGAACAATATCATAAAAGAATTCTTTAAAATATTGAAGTGTATTAACATTCCTTAAGCTAAATAATTCCGATCCTGTATAAGTGAGGCAATGAACTATGGCAGAAATATTCACTTAATTATTTATAATGAGCAGTAATTTTGTCTTTAACCTTCTCTAAAATACTTTAAAACAGCTCTTAAACTCGGTGTTATAATGATTATATACTTTAAAACTGAATTTCTCTAATTATTGTAGGAGGATTTTAAAAAAATGTAGCATAGATGTGACATTTTTTCTTGAAGTTCCTCTTGCTTTATTTCTCACTTTTTTACATCCCAACTGTTATACGTATCAGATTACTCCAACAGGAACACATTGGAAGAGACTCATCTATAAAAATAATATTTTAAAGTAATCATAAATTATTCTTAATTTTTCAATTTACATATAGTTTGTATTATGTTTGTTCTAATAATCTTAATTTTATGACGTTAAAGTAAAATTAAATATAATAAAATTTATTAACATCGGTATGAAAGAAATAAATATTTTAATAGTGACAAATATAAACATATGATTATGATAAAACTTTATTTGCCAATATTTGCTAACAAGCCTGCAATTTCCTTTTGCATTGTTATCTAATAAGCTGCTACTTTACGAATTTCGCATTTTAAAATTTATATTTTTCTTAAGAGAAATCGTTTTATGGCGTAAAAAACAACTTTAATTTTTTTTAAATTAATATTTATTTTAAATAGTAATTTAATATGTTATAGACGAATATATAGATTTAATGAAATATATACCAGAAGTATATAGGGCCTTAGGGAGGTGGGAGATGGGATTTCCCCGCCCGGGCCCGAATAAAGCAGTGGTTCTACGCCTATAAATTAGTGATATTTTTACGAAGAAAAATAAAGTCTTTAAGACTGCTTTTTATTAATAAAGAAACGTATTTTATTTGTTAAAGAAATGATTCCTTCTATTCCCAATCCCATACGGTCCTGAATATAGGCTTACGTCATATATTTTGCGATAAATAACGCAAGGGATGAGAATAATGCGTCTAAATTTGAAGCTTTTTTTAATTTTTTACAGCTAGAGTATATATAAAAGTATTATTTAAATCAATTAAACATACGAGAAAACACTATGCTTTATTCCTTCTATTCTAGTTTTTTTCTTTTTAACTTAAAAAAAGAAAATAGTTATAATATATGCCAAGTAAATTCTTTAGTGATGTGGAATGAATATTAAAATTTAGCAATATACTTAAAATTATTTTTTTAATTAAACGTAATATGTCGGATTTCGTGAGCCTGGTAGAACCCATAATGGATTCGAAAAAGACTCTTTTAGTGCCTTCCGGACAGAAAAAGTTATATAAAATAATTAAAATATAATGATATATGAGATTATTCATAAGCAGATGAATATTATAAATTTTTTATCCCAGTTGTATAGGCATGCGGAAGTTTAAATAAACAGTAAGTAAAGTTTATTATATTGGGCACGTTGCGTAGTAAAGCGCTTTAAAACAGCTAGATAAGCAAACCAATGACAATCCGTTTTAAATGAAACGGATTACATGATTGGCTTACTTATCCAGCTATATTAAAGCCGCTTTACCAGACAACACGCGTGTTGTATTTACACTTCATAACTGTGACTATCCTAGTAATGAATAATTAAAAACACTTTAGAATATATAAATATTCGATTTTAATTAATAATTTGTAATTTAATTCTTTGATATCACCGTATAATTTGATGCAAAGTAATTATTTGCATTATATAAGCCTAAAATCATATATTTATTTGTTATTTATATTCTCCATTTTTCACCGATATTCTTAAATTTCATGAAATTTATATGATTTATTACAGTATCTATGAGACGAAATTTCATGAAAATATTTCTATTTTAATGTATTTTTTCTGTTTTTTTAAGTTTTATCTTGATTCAAACTTTGAAATATTATATAATAATGGTAATTTAAGCTATATGAATAGACATTTTAATCATATCAAATAACAGTGAATGAAATTGAAAGTAGTTTTTAAATATTTATATTAAAAAAATAATAAGATATTAAATTAAAAATGCTATTAAATATTTTAATTTAAAAATTACAGTATCAAATGTTGGCTATCGATATTTAAATTTTTACTTGGCTATGAGTAAACCAATGACATAGTCCGTTTTAAATGAAACGGGCTACGCCATTGGGTGCTTCTAAATGACGAGCAGATAAGCAAACCAATAGTATAGTCTGTTTCACATGAAACGAACTGTACTATTAGTTTGTTTATTTGGCTGTTTACTAACTTATAAGTTAGAATCATCCAATAAGCACGTTGCCTAGTAAAGCAACTTTAATACAAGCCATATTAGTTATATTAACAGGCAATGCGCTCTGTATGCTTTCTATTTTATATATTTTTTTATGATGAGGATTATATGGCAAAGAACTGCAGTCATTTCCGATTTGTAGCTATTTTTTATCTTAATTTTGGGTGGCCAAATTAAACTTACTGTATTATATTAATAATTTTAAAATTAGATATTATATTAATTAAATTAGATATTATTTTATTTCCCTAATTATAAATTATCATCTATATTTTTCGCATAGATACACAATTTCATTTACTTCCATTTTTAAATTATACAATAACAAATTGCAGGATCTTAGTACAGTATAAGGCAATCCAACTCGCGGGCGATCTACCGAGGATTTTCTATGGGCAATTGGCCCCTATTTAATTTTACAAACGTGATGAAAACCCGGTAAAAACTCCACGTGGCGAGGCTGGAACCCGCGAACCATGGGTTTTTTTTTTTTTTTTTTCATTTGGCCACTGGTGGGCCTCAAGTTCTTAGAAAGTATTAAATTTACATTAATCTAAATGAATTATTAATTCTAAATAATACCTTAATTAATTAATATACATTACATTGAAACTAAGCTGTCTAAATACAGCATTATAAACAGTTTTCAGTGTCGAGTATTCAAGGAAATGGAATCAAATAAATAACTCTTGATTGTTTTTTAAACAGTGTTGTCTTTCTTTATTTTAAATTTAATTTTAACTTTCAGAATTTTATAAGATGCATCTCCGATTTCTGTTTAAAGTATGACAATTTTGATTTTTGTAATTTTGAAACCGTGTCGGTAATTATTGTTGTCTCGTAAAGACCGAAACAATTTTGATTATTATGAAATGAAGGCCGCATTTTTCTTAAATAGGAGGATTGGAGACAATTCGTAAATAGGATTTATTCGAAAATTTGTATCAACGTGAACAAAAGCGAAATTCTTATTATATTTTATATAATTTCATTATAAATAAGTTCATTTTCAATAAATACTGCGAATAAATGTAAGTGATTAATATGTACTGTAGGAGAAAGTTCGACGTATTTCAGTGTAATGCCAAATTCAAAAATAACTAGTTTTTCCATTATCCATCAATATTTCTAATGAATCATCTGCTATCTACTTGTCGTAGATACTTGGATACTCTATACTCTGTCGTATAGACATCGTTCAACATTAATAATTGTATTAATAATTTCATGATTAGATTTTTTTACATAATCTGCCCTACGAGAACTAAGAAGCCTATTTTTCAGACCTTGCCCATCACCCGGTTGCTTCGTTGTGGGCCTGGCCGAATCCACAATGGGCTGGATAAACAGGTCTTCTTAGTTCCTACAGGACGAAAAGAGAAAAAGAAGAGGATGGTGCTGTTCACAATGTGGCCAAATGAATAAAACCACTGAACACTATAATTTCATTTATCTTATTTTTTTAAGTCAGAAAATGACACACAATCAATAAGAGACAGTAATCATGGCGAAAAATTCATTCCTCAGGTCTATTTTTATCGACTGAAGGATGACCACCCACCATAACCATATACAAGCTATTGAGATTGCAATGATTTAACAGTACTTTTATCCAGCGTAAACATGAATTTGACGTTTGTTCTTTGCTCAAATTGAGATAAAACTCATGATACCACTTCGTCACTTGTTCTGAAATAAATTGATGGTGAAAATTAATATCGTAGCTGCGTGTGCGTCAAGATCGAGGCTGGTGCATGCTTTTATTGCACATAATATACTGTAAATATATTTATTCTGTAAGAAGTTTTCACACTTTGTTTTTCTTTTTATGAATTCTCTAGTCCATATTCATGTGGACACTAACAGAACCTTTTTCCCATGCCAGGTCCACAATAGAACAACACGCTGGTGAGGGACGAGACGGACCACCCCCGAAAAATTTCTGAGTTTTTTGACCCGTTTGAATTCGTTTCCGGATCCCCAGAGCGGCAGTCTGATGCCTTAAAATCACTTCGTTCATTCGCTCGTCTATTCTGGTATTAATTTAATGTTTACCAATTTACTTCATTATTTACTGTTCTTATTTCCTATTTATATTTAATCGTATTATTGTTTTTATTTATATTTAATTTATTATTGTTTTATAATATAATTATTTTACCTACTTCGGAAGCTTAATTTAATAATTCCTGTACCTTTTATCGAAGATTTCTGAAGTTTTGCAGGGAGGTTTGCGTATTAGGGAGATTGATGCTATTAAATTTTGGTGGTTATTAGCATTTATATATATATATTTATTTAAATAAAACTTATCTCTACCCTCAAAATTCAGCTTTTTTGCCAGGAAAGTTACGCAACTCGTTGCTGACAATTTAAATTTAATAAATTAAATATATATATATTATAAAAGAAATGCTTTCTCTGCTTGGGTTTCATAACTAATTCACAAATTGTTCATGTATATTATTGTAAATTTATATCAGACTTAATTTATGTCAGTAGAAACAAACTGGATTAAGTGCTGATTATATGTTGCATTAATGAATGTGGAGGGCTGAATAAGCGTTTTAAAATTATAATGTTGACTTTAAAATACCAATTCAGCTTCTCTTTTTTACACACTTTGATCAATTACATGTTATTTTATTTAAACGGCACTAATTTATAACTTTATTTTTCGTTTTCATGCAATTGGAACGTACGGTACATTAAATACGCATGTAATGTAAACATTTTTAAAGTAAAATATAAATACGATCTGCTTATATTCATTTTTAAAAAAATTGTATAAAATATGCAAAAGTAATTAATTTTTCTGTTTTAGTTTCATTTAATATAAGCCAATTCAATTTAGTCTAAACAGCGGTCATTTATTTCATGAACTTTTTTTAAAATAAAAATGCATACAAATTAACCTCAAAGCGATGGCAATATTTTTATGTTCCCGTCACTGGTAATTTAAAGGCTTTCCTGTATGTATGCAAGCCCTTAGCTAGGAGGGAGACCGGAGGGAGTGGCTGAGCTTTCAGAATCCCCTATCCATTATCCTAAATGACGAAATTCTGTAAACGAAATTGCCTGAACGGAAAATACTTCGAAAAAGGAGTAGTTTTCTATGTTTAAAAAGAAATAACCCGTTTAAACCGGAAAACCATGTGATTCCGGTTTACAGGTTTTACTGTATTATAGGCCTATGCATTATACGCTTCCGTTTTGAATAATCAACAGAAAATCGTTTGGTTCCGAAGAATTTTTTTTCCCTTTTAGACAGGTTTCCTTTTTATTCATGTTCCATTTCAAGCAAGATGGTAATTTCATAAAACGTAACAAGAAACGTGTTTAACTTGGGGGGTCGTCCACTAATCACATGTACAGTTTAAGGGAAGGAAGGATCGAGAAAAGTACACAATGGGGATGGAAGGAATCGAGCCATTGTTTACGTGCTGTGACGTACTGTACTTTTGGAGGTAACGTGAGTGTCGGATCCCCAGAGACTTTAGGAATAAAATTTAAACAAAAACAAAAATCGTCTTAAACAACAAATCTAAAATTAAAATCACTGTAATGACTATTGTTCATAAATAAACAGTTCTTTATAGTACGCTTAATATTTCTTCATTCTGATTGTACTTTTAAATCATCCTCCTAGATCATCCTCAGAGATAAATCTCAGTTACGCCACTGTCTATGTGGACTTTTTTAATGATGTTAATGGCATACGAATTTGTTCTTATAAGCTCACTTAACAGTCACGTGGATAAACCGTGAGAAAATATTTTTAGAACTTTTTGGTCATTTCTTTATTGTCGGAGTGTATGAACTATTATACACGTAATTAAAAGGGAGTGAGTTTTCCAAAAGCACAACTGTAGGGAGGGGGCAAAAGTTACTCAAAAACTATACACTTTATTAATGGGCCTTTTCTTTTCTGGAATAAATTATATAATAATGGATAATTTTCTTGCACAGAAAATCATTTTTTACCATTTCAATTATCACAAATCAATGCGTTTCGTTTTAATTTGTTTCACTCACGATATTCGACAACTAAAACAAAAAAAAAAAAAAAAATTTTATTTCTAAAGTAAACTTGGTAAACTGAGTGAAAAATAGATGCGAAGATGGTTAAACTAAGATTATTTCTTAAAAATTATTTATACATTAACCTATAAATTGATTTTATTGCATTAGAAGATCTATAAAATGGTTATATTTGAAATTTTATTTTATTTTTGAAGGTTAAAAACAAGAGAAATCCGGGATTGTCCCAGACAAACCGCGACTTAGATACACCCTAAATATAAAGGAAATGTATGGATGAATTTTAAATAATGCTTCGGTCATAAAATCTGTCTACAGTCAACATAAAATGAAATGACTGAAGGAAATTTAAAACCATGTAATGATCCCTTTAGGCGGGATTGTGCAATCTCCTTTAACACTGGATAAAAATTCACTGAGAGATCAAGAAAGAGTATTTTCACAAGTAATCAAAGCAAGTGATGACGACAAGAATTTCTAGCAAAATATATTGTCCTTTTCGTTAAACCACGAATATACAAGAAAATGGGCTAAATTTATTTAATTTATAATTTTGTTATGCTGTAAAAAAACCTTATACAGTATATACTATAAATACTGTCCAAAATGGAAAAAGAAAATAAATTTGTTGTTTGGAAAATCCGTTAATAAGCATTTATAAACAACAAAATTATTTATTGACAAAATTTCTACAGCTTGTCAGGAAAACATTTCTGCTCGAAAGAGTTAATTTTATACATCAAAATTGAAACTAATCGTCTTGAAAAATCAAAATAAAAGAGTAATTAAATTTCACAAATAATAGCATTAATTAAGTCAAATTTTTAAAATTTGGTTTTAAGTAAGACTTGCTGTGGCCCTAAGCTATAACATAGACTTTCCCTTCCACTAAATAAAGGTACACATAAAAACGCGAGGCCCTTTGCTATAGATTCGATACGAGGCCCTAAGCTGCAGCTTACTTAGCTTCTTATTTAACATATTTAAATAAATTTTAAGAATTTAGATAAAATCTTATATTATATAGATTGACATTCATTATAAGTAAACGTCTATCTTTTTTTTTTTTTATATAGGCCCTATATATAAGAAATTATATGAATATAAATTAATTTTTTCTTTACAGTATAAATTATTATTAATTGCTTTAAAAATATATATTAAAAATCACAATTTTTATCCAGTTTTATTTTTAAAATAATATATATTTTACTGTTAAATTATATATTAAAGTTTAAAAATATATAATAAATTCTAAAGTATAATTTATTTAATTAATTCTGAATTTTTTAGAATGAATGTTTGATTTTTAAGCTGCATGATTCATTCCCAAATATTCCCTACTGACAGGAGATGTGAGCCACAATCTAAACCAGACTTTAGTAGTAAAGTACAGTACTGGGATATATTGTATTTAATAACAGTATAAATTTTTAAATATTTTGTAACTTTTATGATTAAAAATCGAATAAACATTTTAATCGTTAGTAAACATTTCGATAGCTTTGGCAAATAACGTGAGATTCATTAATGAGAACGGAAGTGAAGGCGCGCCCTTCGACTACCCACAGTTCAAACACCCACCCATTTCCTGGCCTTGAAACTACAGACGTCCTTAAGGAAATGCAATGATTCCCACCTTAACTATATATATAGTGTAGGCCTATTAACAATTAAATTTCCTACTCATATTGATGTCTAATGCCCTATAATATATAATTATCTCTTAATGATATACAGTATTAATTTAACAATCATAATGGGCATTTGCACTGATTTCATAAGTGGTATATGATGTACAAACTGATGATGGTGATATTTTTGTTTTGCATAATTATTCGATTTTTTTTTATCTGCAAGAACTTACAGTGATGGCTGTAATTATGCCCCATATACAAAGCCGTCTAGATGTGAGAGCTGGGGATTTTTCCAGGACATGGGAAAAAGTTAAGGATTCCTACCCATATAAATTAATGTTATTTTTACTAACAAGAATAAAACTGTTTAAGGTTGCATTATAAGTATCTCATTTGTTTAAAAAATGTGGCAAAAGGGCCCTCTTTATCCAAGGCTCTAGACGGCCTTGCCCAGATGATTAGTAATTTAAGGTCAGAGAGAGTATTCTTTAGAATATCAAATACAGTGGCGAATTGACTTACAGCATGTAGGCGGATTAGGGCCTTTCTACATAATTTTACGGCATCGTGAACTAATAATGTATAATTGAAGCTACAGAATTATTTATAAATTATGTTACATAATTGCAACGTTAAAATTGTTTTATTGCAGCTATCCAGCACTGAAAAAATGGCTTATTGTTTGGACTAACTTGTAGAAATTCTTGCAGATAAGAAATTAATGGATTAATTTTATTCTCCTTTACATAAAATTAAAATTAAATGTAGTTTTATAGGTCTGCTATTAAACATATAACTACATATAAAACAGTAAAACGCCATTGATGTAAATCCTTGTAGCATATTCGGTGATCCTAATATTAAAATTAAATAAATAATAATACCAAAAATTAATATTTAAAATATACATATTTAGTGTGTTTCACTTATAGATGTAATAAGCTTTATATACATTTTTTTCTAACCGAATTTATCTGAAAGATTAAAAATAACTGCCAATTTTTTAAGTTATTCTCAAGCAAAATATAAGATTCAGATTTACAAAAATTTATTAATTATGAATAAATTCAAATAAAAAACTACAGATTGATGCGTTTTTTCATGAAAAATAAATTGAATTCAAATTTATTTCTAGCAAAATAATGAGACTAATGAGATTCTTAATAAAATTTTTAAGTGTTTTTTTTTTTAAACTCTTTCTGCCCTGTAGGTACTAAGAGGAACCTTTTTATGAAATCCATTATGGATTCAGCCAGGCCCACAATGGGATTGGGAGGCCAGGTGGTGAGGGATGAAGCCCAACATATCCAGACAAACCACCACCTGAAAATTTCTGGGATTTTTCAACCTATCCTGATTCAATTCTGGGTCCCCAGAGTGGGAGGCCACCAACTTAACTGCTCAGCCATCTGGCTATCAGAAAAATCTGGACACTTTATTAATTCTTATGCTAAGGGAAGAATGCTTTCCAAATTTTAAGAACTAAGACAATTCGGGCAAAACATATAATGCCAATTAAACCGTTAGACTGATGATTTAATTGTAAATATTAATTGTATTTAAAAGTTTATGAATTCAAATCTGAATCTTTATTATATAATCATTTGGTAGATTCTAGAACTAATTATATTTTAATTCTTGTGATTAAAGAGTTTGTGATAATGGTTTATCAACAAATATTTTGTATTTTCATTATACTTATCTTTATTTGTTAAAATTTTATATAATTATTATATTATTATTAATTTAAAAAATAAATTGTATTTTATATGTAAATATTAACAGTATGTTTAAGAGTATTTGAGTAATTCATACTTATTATAAAACTGTTAATTAAATGAAGTTTCATATCTGTTCTGTCACTTACCAGATCTTAGAATATTGATATTTCTTTTTGCCACAGTAAATTCATTTATGAGACTGTATAAACACAGTACTTTTTTTCCCATAAACCATTGTGGATTCAACCAGGTTCATAATGGGGTAGTGAGAGACGAAGCTGACATATCTGGGACAGATAATCCAAGAAAAATTCCAGTGGAGTTCGCAAGATTTGATCCTGGATTTCCCAGTGTAGCAGGCTGATGCCTTTCTTAACCATGTGGCCATCCAGCCATCAATATACAGCACCTAAACTATTTACTATCTGAATTTCTATATTAAATGCAAAAAGCATTTAATATAGAAATTCTTTATTAAACATTTCAACAATAAATTATAATTTTTCATAACCACAGACAGCAACAGGAATTATGCACATTCAAAAGAGAATGAAAATATAACTATATTAAAATGCAATCATAGATTTTTAAATAGTTTCATACAATTAACTAAATATTTTGAAAATATTTTATTATTATAAATTACTTAAACAATTTCAAATAAATATAAAATTGTCTTTCACAGATTAAATGCTATTGCAGATATAGTGTGTGTTTCTAATCCCAAAGTTGCTATTATTTACATATATGCTCAATATCTCTATTTTAGTAAATTTTAAATAACTTTTGGTGCTAACTTGTTTCTTATTATGAGGATCAATATTTAAAAAGCATCACAGATTCATTTAAGTTAAATATAGCTGATATATTATCTGCCATTCTCTTACAGTATGACTGACTGACTAAAGGCAATCTTTGAATTTTCAGTAGAATGAAATTAATTTATCATAATTTCCTTTATTTTTTGAAAAATGTATAGCAAAACAGACATTATATAAATATCAATAACACAACTGTGTTAATTTTGAATAAAACTGAATGACTTTTTTATTTTTTCAATTTGAAATTGACCATAAAGTTTGAGTTTTTAATAATGATAAATGATTTAATAAATGTGCATCAGTGTAGTTTTATATCATTATACCAATGTTACACTAACAAAATGACCTTATGATTAATTGGAACACTACTGTTCCAATCATAAGATCATAAAAAAAACAAAAATCATTTTGTATCTGATTATAATGTTATGCCTATAATAAATAAGCAGAATAATTATAAATAACTTTCTTGGCAGATTTCACAAGCAATAATAATTAATGAAAAAAGAAAACTTTACCTAGAACAATTTTAAGTTCAACTAAAATTTACTTTAAAAAAACCTTATTATATATTACATATTATTTATAAATATAATAAATATTGAATATTTAAAAATAAAAAATGTGTCACAATACATTAACTTTCATTACATTGATAAATTGTAGATGAAACTTTCCATTTTTATTAAATAATTATCTTATATCATACTACCCACACATGGAGATATTAGACAAGGCTTATCAAACTGAATTGGAGCATTAGAAAATTGAGAACAGATCAAAAAAGGAATGATTTTCTTCGTGGGATGCATTTTGGTCTTCACTAGATCTTCAGCCACTATTACGTAAATACAGTTTTATATTTTTATCTTCTGTCTCTTTGGAAAACGACTCTACAATTACATGTTCATTTATGCTATATTGTCATTATATTCTTACGATAAATGATGTAAGAAATTATACATTTTGAAAATTTGTTATCAACTATTATCTTTTCTAGAACAGAAATAACTTAATTTTCTAAATATGGAAATTTGAATTCCTTATCTAATACTTGCTTTTTTCATACCTGATATAATATTTCAGAAGGAATTTCAGTTTTTCCAAAAATGCTATTATTATTTAAATGAAAAAAATGAAATATTAAGTTACATCAATTTTTTACAATAAACAAAATAAGATTTGGTAAATCACAAAATAATTTAAAGAATATTTTTTTAAAATGTTAACAATTTATACAGGTTTATTTATATTAAATTCAAATGTGTTCAAGTGGAATGTTTGTGTCATTACTGTATTTTTCAGTACAACTTATTGGTTAATGAGAGATAACCAATCACAATATATTCCACATACTTTACAGTCATTATATATTCTTTTTATCCTATCCAAAATATATATGCATATACTTTATGTAAAGTATTACAACTGAAAGGATCCATTAGAAAAGCTACCATAATTCTATCTACACTACAAAGAATAACATGATTTTGTTATATTTTAGTTATATACATGCTAAGTTTTTTAATACAGCATTCTGAGTTTACAAATCTAAATTAATAGACTAATTCCTATGTCCTGTTTGAATTTTATAAAATTTAAGAATTCTATAAGCAATTTTTAATAATTTTAATAAATAAATTCACTTATATGCTTTTATTTTCAATTTCTTTTTGGCAATATATTTACAAACACAACANCGTATTATATAAGTAAGTTTAAATTCGGTAAAATTGCGAATTTACTATTATACCAAAATCATTATTTTTTAATTCGAAATTTCAACAGACTTTTACACGAAAAACAAAAGTGTCTTTATTACTATTGTAAAAATTGCTTAAATGGTTTTCAACGCGAATCGTAAAAAAATTTACAAAGAGAAATCTTTCTCAATGTAACTATTATATCCAACACTTTATATGATTTTAAGAAAGGAAGTAAAAAAAAATATGATCATTTATGAGTATTACAGACATTAAAAAGATGATAAGTTTTTCAAGAGAAATTATAACAACAAATTTTTGGTAAATCTCAAATGGATTAACTGATGACAAGATTATTCAGACAGATGATGAAAAGAATAATAATATTAATAAAATGGGCATGTGAATCTTGTTGATATTTATTTTGGCAAATTTAGAAAGATCTATTTATATAAAACTAAATTTATAGGTAATGCTTCTAAATCAAATTTTATGTAGACGAAGATAATGTGTAGAGATCTTATATAAGTAAATGCATACGTATCTACACAAATAAGATTGAATCTATAATCTAATTATATGTATATAAATAATCTCTTAAATCTAATCTTGTGTAGAGCAGTGCTTCTATTGCAATTTACCATCAATTTTATGAGATTCATCATTTATTTACCTTACTATTATTAAATTTACCTTTGATTATACAGTTTTGTATTTTTAAAAGATTAGCAAGTTCAAAACCATTCAGAACAGACAGAAAGCATCTATAAAATTATGTTATCCTATTTGGTACTCTTATTATCAAATTGTGCGTTATTGAATGTTTTATTGTATTGTTACTATTAGTTTCTTAACACAATCATTAATGATAGTGGACAGTATTTAATATAATATATATTAATTATATTATATTGACAGCAACAGGAATTATGCACATTCAAAAGAGAATGAAAATATAACTATATTAAAATGCAATCATAGATTTTTAAATAGTTTCATACAATTAACTAAATATTTTGAAAATATTTTATTATTATAAATTACTTAAACAATTTCAAATAAATATAAAATTGTCTTTCACAGATTAAATGCTATTGCAGATATAGTGTGTGTTTCTAATCCCAAGGTTGCTATTATTTACATATATGCTCAATATCTCTATTTTAGTAAATTTTAAATAACTTTTGGTGCTAACTTGTTTCTTATTATGAGGATCAATATTTAAAAAGCATCACAGATTCATTTAAGTTAAATATAGCTGATATATTATCTGCCATTCTCTTACAGTATGACTGACTGACTAAAGGCAATCTTTGAATTTTCAGTAGAATGAAATTAATTTATCATAATTTCCTTTATTTTTTGAAAAATGTATAGCAAAACAGACATTATATAAATATCAATAACACAACTGTGTTAATTTTGAATAAAACTGAATNTATGTAATAATAAAAATACATACATACACAGTCTTGCATTTTTATTAGTCATGTTTTTTTCCGTTTGAAAGGGTTAAAGAATCTGTCTAATGTCGATTGCTTTTCTCGCTTCGTCAGGATTTTTTGTAAGTAATTAATAGCATTGCAATTGTAGAAATCCCCAAGCCTCAACCTGGTTTGGACGCTATTCTAAGACCGTTGTTCTGACATCCTCCCACTTCTTCAAAGGATCTTTAATAACAGATATCGATATTAATCCACTTTTTCAGAAGAAAACATATCTCGCCGAGTTTCTTGGTGTTCTTCATTCAAGAATTCTTCGCGGTCTTCAGTCGTCAGATAACTTTCGGATTCCATTATGAGCTCTTCGATGTTCTTTATTTCTCAGATATGATTTTTGTTACTACTTTAGCTGCTTGAGTCTTCTTGATTATACAATATTTTTCTCAAATTAGATTGAACTGCTGCATACTGTAGACCTGTTCAAGCCACACTGCCCAGCAACATCAGAAATCTTCTGCCCACTCTTTAATCTTTAGTATTATACTCTCAACTTTCGAAAATAAAAACCAACGCAAAACTTAACGAGTGCCTACCCGACAGTCTCGCGAATACATAAAAGAATTGTTTTGTCAGAAAAATAAAAGGCTGGAATTACAAGAGAGAGTTTCAAAGTTCAGAGGAATACTATCCGATTGGTATATACCGGCTTGAGCGTCGATGTCGACGTCTCCCACACTCCGAAAAGTTTCGAATTGTTGCTCGAAGACAAGGAAAGTCCAATCAGTATTCATTATTTTACACTTCTTCTTATG